ATTAAATAGGTTTAATTAAAGATATGAACTTGGGTCTAGACCTATTTAATAAATAAGTAGAGTTAAATTTAATATAGGTCAGACTATAAACCTCTGATAAAGACATGGCCTATTTCCAAAAAGAGGGATGAGAGATAATAGATGGACGGAGACAAGGTAAGTTTGCAAGTGCAAGGGTTTTCTAGAGTGATTGAATACAATTTTTTCATTTATTTAATCTTCTACGTACGAGTTAGGACAGGCTAACTTGAAGGGTATTCCATTACTCGTCTCACCCATTTACACTTTATACAACTTTGCATTTTATGCAAGCTAGCTTGTCTATTCTTTATTAACAGACAGGTTTCAACCAGCCTAATTTGCTCAAGTACAAGCAGGTTTGGTGGATAGTGGATTGCTTTCACACTTTTATTTTTTTAGTTTTCTACAAGTATTTTTTATTGAAGATAATTTTATTTGAGACATCATCAAACACTAAATATAAATACTGTTTTTGATGAAAATTTGAATCTTAATTTATTGTATTACAAGGGATTAATCTCATTCACAAAATGTAAACCTTAATGTCGCGTATTCTAAAAGCTTTGTCCCTTCGTTGGACGCACTCTGGTTGCTTGCGCACATTTATTGGTGAGGAAGAAAGACGTATCCAATTAGCTCTGTATTAGCGCCATCAGGTTTGGACCAAAGAAAAGGGACCAAAGATTTGCAAGTTGACTGATTTATCTTTTAGATAAGGCGCCTGTTTATTCTTTTTTTCCCTTTCTCAACCAAGGAGATTTAGACAAATTTTTCTTAGTCTTGTAGTTGTATACGGTGATAAAATTTAGGCCCATGTCAATATTGTGGTTGTATACAGTGATAAAATTTAGGCCCATGTCCCATTCACTAGCCACATTTGAAATTCTGTTATTTTATTGGCATGGTCGGTGGTTAGAGTCAAAAAGTTTGCATTCTTTTCTCCATCCTTCTCATATACCCACGTCATAAAAATTTAATACTTGCCACATTTAACCTTACTATGAATAAAGTATAATCTTAATAATTTTACATATAGAAAATAAGGAAAAAAACAATAGTGAGTCTTTGATTGCATTTTGTTTTAAATTAATCTTGATAGTTTTACTTTATTTCTGTTTCTTTTAATTATTTTTGCAAGACTAGTCACTACAATATTTATTGCTTTAGACAACAATTTTGATTGCAACAGTTTTAAAAGTATTTCCTAATATAGATATAAACAATAATTTTTGTTTGTTATTATTAATACTTACTTTAAATAGCAAATATATGGCTATATTTGAAAACTATTCCTAAAATAAAATAGATAACAATTTTCAATTGTTGCATAAAATAGGCAACATAAAAAATTGTTGCCTATGATAACACTTTTATTGCAACATTTTAAAATTATTCCCTATTGTAATAGCCAACATAAGTGTTGCCTATACATTTTTTTCTGGCAACAGTTTGAGTTTTTTTACTAATAATTTTTTTATTTTTTATAACTTATCCATATTTTTATTTATTTTCTTTTCTTAATTTTTTATTTATTAATTAAAAAAAATTAAAATTTAATTGAACAATTATCTATATATATGTCTAATATTTTTACATTATAATAATTAAAAAGTTTTATTGAAAAAGTGGTTAAAGCCATTTCATCATATCATTTCAAATGAACTAAGTTCAAATCTCGAGTGAGAAAGAAAATATTAAATTTTAACTATTTAATATTTTCATAATAATTTTTAAATGTTGATTATATTTATATAGTAAGTAACAGATAAAAATCATTTCTTATTTCAACATCTTAAAACGATTGCTTATTATAAAACAGGTGTTTTAAACTATGGGTAATGGGGGCAAGTTCCATGTTTAGAAACTGTTGCCTATATCCATGTACAACAGTTTTACACCCTGCAGCAACAGTTCTTGGCCATTGCTACAAATAAAAAATGTTGTAACGAGTCCCTTTAATTTAACAAGCATGCAATGTTAATATTTATAATTTTAAAAATACATATAAAAATCATAAATTAGTATTGACAGATTTAATTTCATTGTAATTCTTCTAACATTGTTAATCTCTTTGTTGATGTTTACTTAACTTTATAAACCCCTTTTATATAAGGATCTACTGTTGTAAGGTACGTATAGAAAGTAATCTTGTATCCATAATCCATATACTATAATTTATGACTAGTCTCAATTTTAGATAGAGATTTAGAATTTTTTTAATCCCATAGTTTATAAGATTTTGAGTATATAAAAAATAGGTAAATATGGCTTATTTCTTAACCTTAGTATGAATGCATAAGATTAACCTGCCGGACCAATAAATGACATTGTTTTTTTGGTCTGAATAAATGACATTGTTCACAACCTATTAGTAACAAATATTAAATTCAATTAATATAATATATTTGACCATAACAACAATATACATGCACATATGTTTATAGAAAATCACGCTATTCATAAATCATTAATAGTTAATAATAATAATAATAATTAACAATATACACTATCTTTAATTTCATACAAAGTATACTCCCGTATTCTAGTTCAATGAATTTGCTAGTTTGGATCAAGAGCAAAACTTTTGAACCTAGAAGAGAGAAAGAGACAATATTGATCTACATTTGACAGAAGTTCAAATCATTTTGTCTTCTTTAACAAATTAACAGTGTACATTCTTTTTTGTTTTTTGTTTTGTTTTTAATAACCTAATACTCTACATTCTTACCATCAAATAAAAAACATTCATTTGCCTTCCTCATCATAAAAAGAAAAAAACATAAGCACATTTATCTTGAATAAAATAATCTTCTTATTTTGCATATAGACATGTACAATAATCTTATATCCATTATACTCCACATATTATAATTCATGACCAACCTCAATTTTGGATAGAGATTTAGAATTTTTTTTTTTAAATCCCATGGTTCATAAGAATTTGAGCATCACTTTAATGAGCAGTAAAGATGGGTAATTCTGATTTATTTCTTCGTATTAGTACAAGTACATAGGATGCACCTGCCAGACCAATAAATGATAATGTTCACAACCCATTATTTAGAGTGATAAATATTAACTTTAATTTTGATTTCAATATTTAATGTATTTAATTAAGGTTAAATGAATTGTTATTACTCTTTTATTAAATAATATTATAGGATTGCTTATTAATTAGAGAAGAGATAAATAAAGAGAAGATCGGACTTTTCGATATGTTGAGTTAGCTTATTATAAAAGAAGAATTATATTTAAAGATCACTTAAAAAAATATTTATAAATAATAATCAATATAAAATAGATCGTTGTTAAATGATAACTTGCAAAGGATGCTAGGTCAGTTAAGAGCATTGACTTCGTGGCAGTGGTGGCCGCAGCAGTCAGTGTGTGCTTAAAGGAAAGCTAGCTAAGCTACCAAGAAGCATATGAATGTTTGGTGGCTTCGGTAGATTTAAAGAAAATAAAAAAAAAATGTCAAGGAGAAAAAGCAATGAGAGGAATATTTGAGAGATGATGTGACAAGTGATAAATTAATGTTACATATTGCACATTTAAATTTAAAAGTTGAATTATAAGAAAAGAGAGTATTAGAATTAGAACTTAAAATACATGCCGTGCATGTTCTGCGGGACTCAATGATAATTGCATTGAAATCAGAAATATTTTCTCTGTTTGTTTGTATTGCGGAACGCTGGAACCCGAGGAAACAAGCGTTGGAAAAATGTTTTAGCCAAGAATATATGAAATCTGTTTCAATACCACGGATTATAAAAATATCACATAATACTAACTTTAACTGATCAATTAGAGTGAATTTTTTTTTTTGACCAGTGAAATGAATTTTTCAATATTTGTATGTTATAGTTTTTTTTAAGGAATAAAAAGCCAAAAAAAAACTGTACAAAAAAGACTAAAATCTAATCATATTTAAATATATGAGACTTGTCAGATTGTTAAAAATAAAAATATCAAAATTTTTATAAGATATATTGTGAGTTAAAAAATTAACACATTTATTAACTTCTTTTTAAAAAATTACATTTGTATGTTATAGTTAACTGATCACAATTGATTAATAATTGATTGATAGTTGATAAAGAAATAGCGAAACTTCTTGATATATGTTAAGGTTTATTATAAACCCTAAACCTGAACTTTTAATTTTCACCTTTATTAACATTTAAAAAAATAAAACAAACAATTGGGTTTATAAATTTCTCAAGAAGTTAACTCTTAATAATATATATTTTCTGAAATGTTAAACTTGCCTGTAAAGTTTGATAAACCAAAAGCAACCTCCATATTGCGTGATACAGCTTCTTTAATTTTTTTTAATGAATTGTTAGTATTAGTATTGAATGAAAATTTAAAATACTTTCGGCCAAAAAAACATTACTCAAAAAATCAGCACGAGCCTAGATCCCCGTGGGACAATTTTTTCACATTTATTTGAAATTGAAATGTTGGCTAGTTACTAAAAATTCATGTAATTCATATAATTTAAGTATACTCTTTTAAACAAGTATTCCCTCCATTCTTTCTAAGTATCTGACCAGAAATAACAAGAGATGATTAGGATATTAATTTCATGTGAAAAATAAAATAATTTTAAATTTGCATTACAATTTTTTTATAATTAATTAATTTAAATCGAAAAAATATAAAAAAATATAATTAATAATATATCAACTAACTTTTATCAAAAATAAAAAATTCTCCTTAAAAATACTTTATAGTTACAATAATAGATAATAGATTGATGATGGAGGGAATAATTTAAACATACTTAAACCAAAAGGAAAAATTTCAGCATATCAATAACTCAAGGATATATTTGTAATTTTAGGATGTTGCCATATTCATCTTAAAACCTAAGCTGATAGAAAGCTGAATCTATGGAAATACATAGATTATATATTATAAGCCAAAAGTTCTCATCTCCGTATCAATACAAACAAAAATCAGACATCTCGCTTAAAAAAATAAAATCACAAGTACAAAATCATAATAAGGCAACAAACACTGCTCTCTAGTGGTAAATTAGGTTTCAATCTCAATTACTCATTTCAATTTTCCTATTTTATCAGATCTGTATTATACCCTACCCGATTCACATTCCACGTCAATTAGCATAGTTGTACTTCGATTTCATTCTGATCCACCGGGCAAAAAGGATAAAAAAAATCCCTTAGGAGAATGTTTCGTTTCGAAGGGGAAGTGATCCGAAAACGAAATTGATTCCGCGTTTTCTTTTCCCTTGCCAAAGGAAAAATCACTGAGGTTATCGTAATGGCGGATGCGTTGATTCCTGCTGCAGTGTCTCGCAACCTTGCTGACAAGCTCTACGAGAAGCGCAAGAATGCTGCCATTGATGTGAAACCTCAGTCCCTTTTATCTCTCCAAATTTTCATTCTAGAGCATGATAAATTTGGAGTTTCGTGTTTTTGGGTATTCTTGTTGAGCTTTACTTGATCATAGTTTTATATTGGTTGTGTGGGTATATAGATTGAGGGAATAGTGAAGCAGCTTGTTGCTGGTTCAGAACATGATAAAATAACGGCTGTGATCAATTTGTTGACTACAGAGTACACTGGTTCACCACAAGCAAATCACCGAAAGGTGGGAGATATTTTTTTTTTGGCTGCTTTAATTACATATTCATTATGTTTTCATTTAATTTTATATTAAATTCGGGTGATAGTATGATTGAAAAGTGTTTTTAGTTTTGGTTTGATTCTATTTCATGTTATGATGGTTGAATTCTTTCAATTTTTAATGAAGGGAGGATTGATAGGATTAGCTGCTGCGACTGTTGGGTTGTCTACTGAAGCAAGTCGGTATCTTGAGGTGAGGAGTTGAATAAAATAACCCTTAATATAGATGCAAATGTTTTTTGTTCTTTCATCTGAGTTTGTTATTCTGAGCTTACAGTTTGAACTCCTTCCCCATTAGAATAAATTTAAAATCTCTAAAAGAGTGTGCATGAACCATGCCAGTGGTTGCTGTTTCTGGTATGGAAGAAATGATTACTTCAAGGGTGCGTGCGTGTGAAAGAGAAAAAGATAGAGAGAGAAAGTAAAAATATAAAAACAGAGAATACATAGAATGATTATGCATCCCAAAGCAATGTTCATTGTATAATCATCTGGACTTATTTCCGATGGCTCGAGGAAAGTATTATGGATTCTCAAGGTTCCTTTCAACCTCCTATAGTACTCTCTCTGAATAGGGAGCAGTTTGATTTATTTGGGAGTTGCTGACGTACTAAAGGTGATTAATGAATCATCCTCAGATCCCTTTTTTCTCATCAGAAAAAATGGAAAATAAATCTTTATATAGTAGTATGTTCGACACCATCTACATTCATCTTTTTGCAAATTTCCTCCCCATTCATGTCAAATCCTTGGCATAGCTTGTAATATTTGGATGTGGTCACTAATAATCTGGGGTTGCAAAGCTGCTTCAATTGAATTTAATAAGGGAAACTGCTGAGTGCTAATGTTGCTGAATATCAATTTTTGTTGCCTTTGGTAAGTCTTAGAATAGAAGGGTCCTTGGGCAGGGTTATTAAAATGAATTTTATTTGGTAATTCAATCTTTTTTCTAGCCTTTTTTTGTCTTCCTAGTTAGTTATCTTCAGAACAGATGTACATGGTCATGATATTACTTGCTTCTTTATGAATACGATCTAAATTTTGAGTTACTGGTCAATTACAGTGTCTCAATAAGTGATAGTGCCCTTCTGGAAACCACAAGGAATTTACAACTTTGGAGATCATGAACCAGAAGACTCAGACAGATAACTACAGCATGCATGGGAAAAGTTTATATCTCTAAGTAACATCCATGTTGAATAAATCATTAGGAATTGCTCTTCATTACACGTGATTTGTTGAATTTATGTAGACATCTTGTGTTATAGTCAAGATATTTGGAGTTTTCATGGAAAGTTCTCATATTATTTTAGCATTGGGTGTGTTCTTACTGAGTTTTAGTTTGCACATGACATTCCTTTCCCAGGATGCCAGTTGGATATTAATGGAGTTCAAGTAAGGAGTGTTTATATTCTTCTTGGGGCATTGGGTTACTTGATCTGCTTGTGCACAAAGTAGAACTTTTAATGCGATTTTTTAAATTTGAGCGAATAGGTTTATTAGAATTTGCTTTAAGTCTGAAAGACATAACAACTACTCTTGATTTAGATGGTACCTGGTATTTGCTAATGTAGTGCATGCATGATGGTGCTTGGAATGATTGGTGGACCGTCCTGAATCCTGATCTTAAATCAACTCTTGGTTTATTTGTGTTTTTTGCCAGTGCTTGACAGATAGCACCAAATTTCAGGATAAGGAAATAAAGTTGACTACAGTTCATGTGATGAAAGTTACATTTGTACAAACTGATCAAGCTGTGTTGTGTCTAATAGTAGTTGTAGATACTTTTTGGATGAATTATCACTAGCATAGGATATTATTATCATTCACTTTGTTACAGTGCTGAGCTTATTGTCTCACATATTCTTTTCATATCTCTTCCTCTTAACTAAAAATTATTCTTGTTTGCTGGCAGCAAATTGTCCACCCTGTGTTAGGTGCTTTCGCTGATCCAGACAATAGAGTTCGTTATTATGCTTGTGAAGCACTGTATAATATTGCTAAGGTGAGAATTTAGTTGCTTTGGATTTCCTATAACTTCATATTGGTGATCTACTAGAGTTAATGATTATTGTTTCCTGATGCCAGGTTGTAAGAGGGGAATTTATTGTATTCTTCAATGAAATCTTTGATGCCTTATGCAAACTTTCTGCGGACTCAGATCCAAGTGTGCAAAGCGCAGCTCATCTCCTAGATAGGCTTGTGAAGGTATAGGCTTATCTGTCTATATACCTTTCTGCTGACTTTAAATGTTTGCACGTAGTAACATTTCCTGGATGGGGGGTTTTATCTAATGGTTGAATGAATTTCTATTTTTTAAGATAAACTGATGATGCTTAAAATTTATCATTTCGGAACAGGATATTGTGACTGAAAGTGATCAGTTCAGGTGAATCATTCTCTCAATTTTATTCTTTTTGTCTTTTTGTATTTAGTGATCTAAAATATACAAAAGAGAGTTTGAAATATCAAGCCTTCTGAATGTAATTAGATTGATTCATTCACTTTCCTTTTCTTGTTTGATCTTCAGTATTGAAGAGTTTATACCATTGTTGAGGGAGCGTATGAATGTCTTGAGTCCATATGTTCGTCAGTTTTTGGTTGGATGGATTACTGTATTGGATAGTGTCCCTGATATTGATATGCTGGGTTTTCTTCCTGATTTTCTTGATGGTAACTTTCAATACATGAGTTTTGAGCATTTGTTCTTAACATTTTATAAGCATTTCTGTTGACCATTTATTTATTTGTATGCTTCTCAGGTTTGTTTAACATGTTGAGTGATTCGAGTCATGAAATTCGTCAGCAAGCTGATTCAGCTCTTTGCGAGTTTCTTCAAGAGATTAAAAACTCCCCAGTAAGACTTCTATTGATGTATTTTTTTTTTAACCAGGATTCTGCTACTGTTTAGGTCCCTATTGTGCTTTAATGTCATTCCCCCCTAGCTGGCTGAGGAGCATTTATTTTGGTTTGGTATCTTGTTTAACTGTACTATGCATCGCCAATAATTTTTACACAAAAGCAAACTATTTTGTTCATTTGTCATTTTCTGACTCAAGCAGTGCTACTCTTGAAGTCTGTAGATTATGGTCGAATGGCTGAAATACTGGTACAGAGGGCAAGTTCTTCAGATGAGTTTACTAGATTAACAGCCATCACATGGGTAAGTGGTAATGCAATGCCCTCATTTTATCAATAAAATTTTACTGGATGTCTTAGCAAATTTTAATTTTATTATTTATGTTCTGTTATAATTTATTATTATTATTTTATTTGAATAATGCCTGTTCTTTCATCTTTGAACAGATAAATGAGTTTGTTAAACTTGGTGGCGACCAGCTTTTTCCATATTATGCTGGTATTCTTGGAGCCATTTTGCCTTGTGTATCTGATCAAGAAGAGAAAATTAGAGCGGTAGGTCCTTGTGTTGTTTTGCTTTTGATCTGTTTTTGCTTTTAGATGGTATGGTTGGTTGTGTTTTACTTTGTTTTCTGTTTGATAAAAAGACTACATGGGGTGCAATTCAATAAATTTGATAATTTTTCTGCTGCTATGGAAGGTTGCTCGTGAAACCAATGAAGAGCTACGTGCAATCGAGGCTGATCCAGATGAATCGTTTGATGTAGGAGCTGTTCTCTCCATTGCTAGGAGGTGTAGTTTTCTAACTTGTGAAAGAGCCTAGATTTGTGGTTTGCAATGTTGACAATTAAATTTAAGTATTGCCATGAGCATCTGAGAAGATATTTGGAAATGGAAATGATTATGAAGGCCCTTTTTATAGGTTCCTATGCCCTTCAAAGATTATAATCTGAATAATTTTGCTCTGATATTGGGATGGTATGACTGATCAGGCAACTATGTAATGAATGGGAGGCTACCCGGATTGAAGCTTTACATTGGATATCAACCCTTTTAAACAGGCACCGTGCTGAGGTGACTGGATTATTGGAATCCACCTTTTTGTTTTGATGATTAAGAGGCACCTTGTCACGTGTAAACTTGATCTACTTTCTGGAAATGCCCTTGATTTTAAGTCAGACAACTCATTTACATTGCCTATTTGGATATTTCTAAGGCCTTGAAACTAATTGCTTGTTTATGACCTATGACAAAAAGTTTTAATTAGGTTTACTGAAAGCTCTAATTTCATTGATGGATGTTACTTGGCTGTAACGAATAGTTATTATCAATCTGCTACTTGTAAATCTATACTTTTTGCCTACTTTATTGAATGAGAGACAACTTTCCTTTCAGTTATTCCAGTCATAAGGGATTTAATTTATGATTATTTGGCCTGGCTTAATTTATAATTATACCACTTTTTTCAACTCTCTTGTCCAAGTAGGCAAATGCTGACTGACTACCTTTGCTTTATCATTTCGATCAACAAAACTAGAATTAATGGAGGTAAAAAGAGCATATATCCTGCAAACAGACATGGTGTCTTGGCTAACGAGATGCAACTTTCTTTTTCTACCATTTTTTTTTGTCTTCTCTTTAATAATATCTCCAAACTTACTTGTGGAAGACCTCCCTCCCTCCCTTTTTACTTATAATTCCATGCTAACATATTTACTTTTGATTTCTGAGACAGGTTTTTACATTTCTGAATGACATACTTGACACCCTATTGAAAGCACTTTCTGATCCGTCTGATGAGGTAGTCTTGTTATCCTAATATTTTCCCCTCTTTTTGTTTCATTAGGTTATTTGTTTCTCAATATCTATGTGCATATTCTACATGTTTTTTATTTTCATATATCTCATAGATACTATACATGTACCTTTAATTAAGAAAAATGCTTTTCAAGAGAAATTTTCGTTAACTGTAAGCCTTTGGATGAGAAGTTGGAGTGGCCTAACCAGCGCCGTTTTATTGGCATCATCTTTATGTTTGTTGCTGGTTGCATGCCCCAAATTACTTCTTTGTCTTACTTAGATGTGTTAATGGTTTTGGGGGAGGGGGGCTAGGATAGGGGACTTTAATATTATTTTGATTTTTAATTTGAAGTCAGCGCATATCCATTTTTGCATTAATACTTTTCATCATAAAGTATGTGTTTTAGTTTTGTTAGATAATTTCCTGTAGTTGTACTGCCTGATAAATCTCGTTTTCTTGAGTAATTGCTTATATTAAAAATTTTTGGTGTTTTTGTAGATCCTTCATTTCTTGTTTACTATCATGTTTGTACGTGGTAATCAAAATATACTTAATTGCGTCTAATTCATTGTAGTTATGCGACTAAAATAGGTTGTGCTTCTAGTTCTTGAAGTTCATGCATGCATTGCTAAAGATCCTCAGCACTTCCGACAGCTTATTGTTTTCCTAGTCCACAACTTCCGTGCGGATAATTCTCTTTTAGAGAAGTAAGATTTCCCCTCATCGTTTTTGTCTATTTTTATTTTTGTAGATATATAATTTTGTTTAAATATGCTATTACTAATAAATTCTTTTCCATTCATCTTTAACCATATACATAGGCGTGGTGCTTTGATAATTCGTCGACTTTGTGTGCTTTTAGATGCTGAAAGAGTCTATCGTGAACTATCTACGATACTCGAAGGCGAATCTGATCTTGATTTTGCATCAGTTATGGTTCAGGTTGGTCTTGACTTATGAGAAATTAAAATGTAATGTCCTTCTAATTATAATGATGGCTTATCCTATTCCAAGTCCATGTCAAAATATTTAAAAGGGTTGAACTGCATTTTTGTCCATTATTTATTTTCGATGGAGCACCCAATATTCTAAATTCTTAATTGGAGCAATGGCCTCCTTAAAATTTTTAAAACATAGCAATGTTCCCCTTTTGTTAAATGAAAGTTGGGTGACCGTTTAGTGATGAGTTGGAAGGTGGTGTTTATAAAAGATGTACGAGCTGGCTTGACACTCTTATCCCTCAACTATTGGATTGTTTCCACTCCCCAGACTCCTCTTATCACCTTCACCTTCAGCCATTGTGGTGTTCAGGCTTCCAAGCTTTGAGCAACGGTGAGGTTCAGTGACTCAAGCATCGAGCAATGCGAACGATGACTCAACAATGAGACTTGGTTTGAGCCTTTGAGCAACAATGAGATAGAAGCTTTGAGCAATGACAAGAGCAAAGTTGCAGATCGATTGTGCAAACCAATTTCTACCCTCACAGGAGCAGATTCACAATCTGGGGTTCAATCATAGCAGATGCAACAACTGTTAAGATTCTACCTTTCAGTTAACCCCAAGCTATCGAATGCATCAGAGGTGGAGTGATCCAGCAATTTATCATCGAAGGATTTGGACATAACAGAAGCAGCCATAATAGAGTTTTGCACAGATTGAGATTGCATTTCTTTGATTATATCCTCTACTTCTGGGACCATTTTCTATTTAATTCTGTTTTTTTGTCCACTCCTAAAAACCATATCTTTCACCGGATTCAAGACTATGTTCTCTGATATTTTTCCCCCTTCACATGCTTATGTGCTTATAAATGATGCTTGCTTCAGAACCTGTTAGAACTTGACATGGGTTGTAAAAGTGATTCACAATTAAATTTGAATTCTGAGCTCCCGAAGGAGGTGAGGAATCGATAGTACCTAAGCATCAAACTCAAATAGATTTTATGGGTTTTGACTTGAGTAGCTCTAGAGAAGTCATTTTATTTGTTGAAATAAGACCAATTGTTGCCATTGCTCCATTTTATGGGTTTCCTACTCTTCTACTTGTGGATCTGAATTATAAGTTTGTGTTGAAATTGTTGCCATTGCTCGAATGGTCCTGATCTGGGAAGACAAAGGAAGATGTTGAGCCCTTATTGTGCTTGGGGTTTACCCGAAGAGAGAGAGGGTAGGTTTTTTTTTTTTTTTTGAAATTTCTGACTTACATGCTTGGTATGTGCCACTTAGACATGTATGTGGGTCCCACACGACTCCATTACTGGACGTTTGCTCCCTCCTGATGGCAGGGCGACATTGCTACGTTTTTAAACCTTTAAGGGCAACATTGCTTCAACTGAGAGTTTAGGATACCATATGCTTTTCTGCTAATAGTTGAAGGGCAGAAATGGCTTTTAACCGTATTTAAAAAGAGCAGTTTTGTGATGCTTGTGCTTAATATTGTGTACTATGTCTGCATCTGTGGGTTAAGATAACTGGTTTTGGTGTGCACTAGTAAGCTGGCTAAATTTACTCTGTATTGAACTTATATTGTCCACTTGATAACTTGAATATTCTGGTTGAATGGTTCTTTTATACTAGATGGTGTGGTATGTTAAACTAGATGTAGGTCTCATAGTTTGAAAAGTAAAGGAAGCTTAAGATTCTTGTTTTCTTCTATTAGATTCGTGGAAGATGTTCTTTGGCCTGTTTTTCATAATTCAGACAGATTCTTGTTCCCCTTGCTTTTCTATCCATGGCTGTGATATATATATATATATATATATAACGTGTGACTTGCATGGATCCTCTGGACTATGTGCGAAGTCACGTTTGTCTTCTCACTTTTAGTCAAAAAGTTCTTGTTTCTTCAAATGAGCAAGTGCTGAAATGTCTAATGGCTGATGTAAAAGGACAATATCCTATCCAATTGCTACAAATCTGCTGTGGATGTTAAGTATTAGAAGGGCCAATTTTCTAACGGGGAGTTCTACATTAATGTCTGTTGTATATCTTATTTTGGATTTCCAGATCTGGCTGACTAGATAAATATGGGTGTTTCTGTGTGTGCATGTGCGTGCTTTCTACTGAGTCTAAACTTCTACTAATATAACAAGCTAAATCAGTATTCATCAGCATATGTTTTGCGCTATTTCAGGCTTTGAATTTGATCTTACTCACATCGTCAGAATTATCTGAACTTCGAGCTCTTTTGAAGCAGTTAGTGGCAAATCCTGCTGGGAAGGATTTGTATGTTGCCTTGTATGCTTCATGGTGCCATTCTCCAATGGCAATTATAAGTCTCTGCTTCCTAGCTCAGGTAGGTGGATTCTTTAACTTGGTTATGGCTATCTGTTCATTTGAATTTCTTCTTTTCTTAAGTTGCACAAACAATACTTTTTTTTCTAGCAATATACATTTGTGGTTGCTTGGCCTAGTTTGATTGTATGAGTTAATTTTTTATCTTTCTGGTCAGACCTACCAACATGCTAGTGCTGTGATTCAGTCTCTAGTTAAGGAGGATATTAGTGTCAAATTCTTGGTCGAACTGGATAAGCTAATTCGCTTGCTGGAAACCCCGATCTTTGCATATCTAAGATTGCAGGTATTTAATAGAAGCCACATGTTTAATCTATCTACTGTTGTTTTTGGGTCTTATGATAGCATATATTTAGAACTTGGTCTGGTAAAATGAGAAGCAGGATATGTTTCTGACGATGAAAACTATAGGGTTAGCAATCACTTGTTATTACTTTTTCCTTTTCTTTTTGCTAAGCTACTAAATCAACTATTTATTCCCAGATCTTGTTTGCCCTCCCCAGAGTTTTGAATTCTGTTCTGATCACCTTGCCTCTAAAAACAATATTTTATTGAAAGATAGCTTATATGATAGGTTTTCTTTTGTTTTCATATTGAGACAACTCTTTCCTTAAAAAAGCTCTCTTGTTTATGATTTTTTCTGGAAAGTGAAGGCCCTTTCTAAGATTATGGTCTATAAAATAAATGCGGTGATACCTGGTCTACAATTATTGGTTGGTTGCAGCTTCTTGAACCTGGAAGATATATATGGCTATTTAAAGCTTTGTATGGTCTTCTGATGTTGCTTCCCCAGGTATATAAAAATCTAGCTATTTCCTTATATTGCAGTATTCTTTACTGAGTCTGACAGTCGAAGAAGGTCTTTGTATTTGTGTATTTTAATGCATCTTTTTCAAGCATGTGGGCAATAGGTGATATATTTCTTTGTTTGCATCATCATGTATAGTATATATGGCAAAATCCTGTATAGTGAATACGGGTTATATCTTGTGTTTTCAGAATCAGCCATTGTCTGTTCTGGTTCTGACCAGATGACTGTGGTTCCATAAACTGGCCGAGCCACCTGAACCAGACATTGTTTTTCTTTTCAATCAATTCTGGTGAAATTTAGTTAGTTCAGTTGGGTCAGCCAGTTTTTTAGTATATGAAGTGGCTGTTTGTAAATACTCCACATCAGACCCGTCACAAGCAGCCACATCATACCCATTTGTCAAATATCTTATTGTCACACGCTAAAGTTTACAAGTTGGGAACGAAAGCTGCAAATGAAGTGTGCGCCATAGACTGTTAAAGCATATTAATTATTTATTCTGTAACTAGAAATGTTGATATGTATACAAAAATAAATAGTAAATGTGTATTTTACATTTAACAAATTTGTATTGATATTTTATATCACTATTATAGATAATTATTTTCTAAAGTTTATATTTGTAACTAATTTAAGATTATATAACCCTGTCATAATCCATACTAAATATTATTAATATTTTCTTTTTCTCTCTCTTAGTAATGGTAGTATTATATTTTTTGACATATAAAAGAAAATCTTAGTTTTCAAAATTCTGAGTCAGCCACAGTTAGACCGCCTAACTGTTTAATGACCAATTTAATTTTCGAAATGACCTTTTTTTTCTGTTTCCCCCCCCGTCTTGAAGCACTTTCCTTTTTAGATTCTTCTTTCAGTGACATCTAATATGCCTAATCTATTGATGAGATGAAGAGTTCCAAAACTTTTTCATCTGGATGTTGCCCTAACATGCCTGAGTTGATTTGGATAAACAGTTAATATGAGATTTATTCAATGCACATGATATGGCTGAGAATGCATTAAAGAAATAATTCAGAACCTACTGTTTAAAAAATTTGAATTCCTTATATTGTTTAGTGAGTGGTGTAGTATTAATTGTTGTTGACACCTTTAGATGCTTTGCTTTTATCTTTGTACTTATACTGGCAAATTTCTCGGAAGCGTGAGTTTTCGTTTTTGAAGGGGGTTTTCTATTTAGCCTTTCAAAAGTTTGTGATGCTTGCTTAATTGCTGCATTTACTCAGATGTTGAATATATGATCTTGCTCTTTTTACAAACTCTTGTTGTGATAACTATGGAAAGCTCGGTCATAGTTGTTTGGACTTGATATTGACCCTTTCAAATTGATACCATCATGCAGCAAAGTGCTGCCTTTAAGATTCTAAAAACTCGTCTAAAAGCCGTGCCACCATATTCTTTAAATGGCGAGCAATTTAGGAGAACATCCTCAGGGAATCCCTACCAATTTCTTCATCACATGACCGGTGGATCTCAGATCACTGAGGATGGGGACATAGCTGTGGATGTTGGAAACCCAGATAATGGAATCAACTTTGCTGCAAGGCTACAACAGTTTGAGCAAATGCAAAACCTGCATTGCATGCATGCTAGAGCTCGGGTACATTTGCGCAATGCTTCCACTTCTGTAATAACCTCTTCATGCTGCCTTCTGTATATTGATATATAAAATCTATGGGTTGGGAATGCAAAGATACATATAATTTAGCATAAAATACAAATATCTCCCTTCAACTTGAAATCATTTGCATACACTCACTTTAACTTTGAAAATTGACAAATAATCCCTTTATTGGAGATGTCACCTAGAGCTTTGGAATTTTGTGTGGCATACTCATTCTTCTAGAGACACTTGACAAATTTTGTATAGCATCTTCTTTGATAATCATTAATGGGAAAGATTAATGGAAGAGTTTTAAATCCAGAAGGATAAGAATTGAGGGGGCATATTTGCACCTCGTCCTCAAATTTATATAAAGTTTTAGGGGGAGGATCTGGGTGCCAGTTTATCATTATTATTGACACAACATTTTCTTCATGTTTTGTTTTGCCCAAACTGTTTCAAGTCATCCTTTTACTTTGTTTCGTTTTCTGATACCATCACCAGAATCATATGGAGGACGCAGAGAGACTGGAAGAAACAAGGCAACGTCTGTCATCTGATTTTCGTGTTTCTTCTCCTAGATCATCAGAAAGAGGCTCTGGGCAGCTACAACTATAATTATAATGTTGTATTTGCCCATTGTGAGTCAAATTATGTACGGATCTCACTGTATGTGAAATTTGGAATCGGTTAGGCTATGTAGAGTTGTAAATCATAGTAGTTTATTCTACTTATAGAGGCTGGGGTGGTGAAAATTGGGTTTGGAATCACCAAGAAGCTTGGGTTTTCCTGGGCTATTCTTTCGACCTTGTTAACAGGGGAGGCTCACGTGGTTCTATTATGTTTTGTTGACGACCATGTGAGCCAGAGGCATATATTTATTTAGAGGAGTTTCATTTCTTTATCTGTCCAACGTCCATTTACAACCTTCTGGTATTATAAGCAATTTGCTACAGTTCGTAACATTAATGTGCTGCAAAGTGGTGTCCAAAGCTTAGTCAGGTTACAGTGGTATTATTTAGTGTTTACTTCAAATCTTCAAATGTTGCGTGTATGAAATTAATGATGGCTTCCTGAAAGATGAGGGTCTTCTCTTGTATAAATGGAAATCAGGTGAGAAATTGGAGGTGAAATGATTAATTTTCATTTCTGTCCTCAGTGGGAGGCTGGGCAAGACAGTTTGAAAAATGGCTTTTGGATGTGTAATTATCAATCTCCAGGTTATTTTAAAAGCTTTCCTGTTATTATGTTCTTGTTCTTATGCTGAGAAAATTGACACTTGTAAATAACAAGACAAGTTTTCTTATACATTACATGGAACATGGTAATTATTGTTGGATTGTGGGTACTATGATTTGCTATAAATTTTATATTTTTATTTCCTGCCTCTCACTTTTATTCGATGTTTATCTGTTTCCAGCACACTTCAATTACGAATGAATATATACAGAGGAAGCATGTGGAATTAAAGCGTAACATACTGGCCATGCCAGATCAAAATGACTTGTCTTCATGCAATCAGTCATTCGAAGCAAAAATTTCTGAATAAATAGAAAGAAATAGAGCATAATATTGCCACTAAAATATGTTTATATTTATTTTAAATATTATTTATAAATGTACTAATTTACTAGTTACATATAATTTATATTTATATATTTTAAAAATAAATCAATTTTAATTTGGCAATTATATTATTAAGATACGAACGGTTCTTATTCTGATTCAATAATCAGTCCATTTTCGAAAGCATTAAGAGTCCGCTAAAGTCCTTTCTACTCCTTTTGCTTTTGAAGGGTGACTTTAGACTTCAGCTGGAATGGGAAGGACAAGTATGCATGCTTAGGGATACAATATAGACTCTGCCTTGGTATTATTTTCATATACATAAAATCTAAACCAAAGATCTCGCTATATATTTAGTTATAGCAAATCCACCCAAATTGCCTCGTACGACCCAAAAATTGTACTACAGGTTTAACAGCAGGGTCCTGATGGATCATCAACCAAATTCCCCTTAAAATCAACATGGTGGAAGTTCAGGATATGAGTGCCAGTTCAACAGGGTGGTGCCAGTGTTGTTCAGACTTTACAGAGCATAGATTTTCTCAATGTCAGAATCATAATCATCCAATTCAGATATATTTGCAGAGTAGGACCAAGAGAAAGATTTGCTCCCACTTGCTCTCTTGATGCGTCTCTGGGAATCGCTGCGAAAAATGCCAAAATGTTGCTGGAAAACAAAGTAGCACAGACATGCTAGAGTTCCAACTATTGTAGGTACACCCAAAACAGTTATGGTAATAGCCATCCATGTTTGCTTTCTTCCAACAACAACAAATGCCAAAGCCAGGAAAGCCCCACAAGTGCAAGCGCCAGCAGCCCACATTAGCTTGTTCACCACTGACACAACCTGCTTCTGAGCCCTTGTGTCCCAGGCTACCAAAGTGATTTGAACAACCACCACTGAGAGAGAGATGAAAAGCGATGTAGAGTTTAGAAGACAGAAGGCTTGGAAAGCAACATCGTCAGCTATATTAGCCTTCCCAATCTCATGTCCTTCCGTGATATATTGGCCAGGCAAATTGAATATAGCTAAGAATGCTACTGATGCAAAAAGGACAGCAACAACTGTGACAGAGTTAATTGTATTTTGAACTGCTTCTCTGTGAAGCTTTTTCAATTCTTTAGCAATACCAGAAACTCGCCTGCGAGTTTTTAAGTTTGCCTCAAGTTGTGACTGCACTTCATGCTTTATATCACTCACGGTTCTTTTAAGTTCCATAGTTTCATCAACTCTGCCAACGTGCCTGGCGTATTTGGCACCATATTCTGCAAGGGCTTCCTTGATTTCCAAAGCTGAATCCCCATACTGCAATTTATCTGCCAAATCCAATGCTGTTTCCCGCTGGTTATTGATGGCATTGACATCCATAGCAGTGTAACTTAGAAGAAGACTCACAATCTGAACGAAGAGAATTGTGTCAGTAGGAGGAGGAAAATTGGGGGCGGCGGGAAGAAAATCGTGGCAAGAAACATTTGCTTTATTTTGCTAGAAATGCAAGCAACATGTGTCGTGCGACACGGGGACATGCATTTTGTTCCTTGCACTAGGGCATCTGTCATGTCAATAAACCTTCCAAAATAAATAGCATGGGAAGTTGGGAACAATCTAAGGTTCAATAATCACATTATATTTCCATCTATACCCCATGTTATATCTCCGTAACCCATTACATAAAATCCGAGATAAACAGTACAGTGTTTTACATTGTCACTAATATACAAGATTTAAAACCGTTGGGTTAACTCATTATCCCAGTTATATTTAGTTAAGGATATCTTTACTTGCATGTCCTCAGAATAGACTCACCTGCCAATTAATGATCATTCTATACTCAGTTAATGGCTGTAATTTTGTTAGTTGAGTGATAAAACTATCGGATAGGATGAACTGAGTAGAACAGAATGGGCATGTGTCAAAATATGAACATAAAATAATGAACTGGCCCCTGATCTTGTATATGGAGAGAGAAACCAAGATGTTCCATTGCAGACGGATGGATAAATTCATAATGAAACTGAACAAACATGGTATGGTATGGGGCAGCAGCTACATGAATGTAAAATTCACCTGTGAACGACCCTTCCTTGTAGCCATGTGTAAAGCAGTATTTCCCTTCTTATCCCGTTCATTCAATATAGTGCAATCAGCTTGCAATATCTCCTCTACTACTTCCGCACTCTGTCCTTTTACAGCCATATGCAGTGCAGTTTGACCCTTTTTATCTTTGACACAGACTATCCCTCGATCTCGGTCAATAAGTGCTTTCGCAATACGAAGAAGCCCATACCTACCGGCATTGTGCAACGCAGTTTTTCCATTTTTCCTAACAATCCACATTGAATTCACATCTGCATCCAAGATAGCATTCACCACCTCCAAATGGTCTTGAACAGCAGCTGCATATAGGGGACTAGTGTTTGAGGAGTCACACAACTTACAAACTTCAGGCCACTTGTTCAAAAACTCTTTCACGATATCTGGAAAATGATTGACAATGTTAAAATGCCATTATGAGATCCTTTAAGTGTATCGAGGTACAAGTGGTGGAACAGCTACTTCGAGTCTTCAAGTGACAATATTGCATCCATGGTGAATTTATCATTTATGGGACCTACCATGGGCGTCCACAAGGTACTTAAATCAAACTTGCAGCCAGTAGTACCATATATATTTAATTTCAATAGCATTATTCTATTATATTGTTCTGAAACATAAAAAAGTTGTATTTTTTCCCTAACAATGCAGCGTGAAATGAATAATGAATCAACTTATTATGGTGTGGTTATTTATTATTATTTTGTCAAAATATGATTCGTTTATTTTTCTAATTCCTACAGAGGTTGAGAAAGAACTAGGAAATAGAATTTAAATACGAAGTTGTTGATGTTTCTTCATCAATAGCCACTCGTTGGCCAAGTCCCTGCTTTCCTTTGGCCATTAAACTCAATTTAGAAGCACTTGAAAGCTTTATTTTGATCGAACTTCGTAGAGTATTTCCCCCTCAATGGATGGTGTAGAAGGATGACATTAGACGAAAATAAAAGTTTTAACCCGATGTTGAAGTGCTAAAATGATACAAAAACTAAGGAAGCCAATTAATACCAGAAGGGAGGATTAACATAAGGCTTTACTCAACTCCAAATAATAGACAGACACCCAACTGATGCGATCAATTTCACCACCAAACTACCACGGCTACTCACGTATTGTCGCGTAAACTATTTATTTATTTGTTCACTGGATAATCTGATTTTCAATTGTGATTGAGCCTAATCTCATTTCAAGCAAGGATTATTTATTTTTCAAAATATGAATCGCTTAATCTCCTAGTATTACCCAATAAAGCAGAGAAAGATGCAGAAAGAGAAGAAAACCTAGATGACCACGCTTCGCGGCAACATGGAAGGCGTTCATGTCTGATTTGGACCTGATCTTCACAATCTCCAAGTCACAGTACTTGAGCAGGTAGCCGAAAATTTCACCTAGATTATGCTCCGCAGCGATGTACAGCGCCGTCTCTCCGGCATCGTTCTGAAGGGACATCACATTAGAAAACGACGAAGCATCTTCGCTATTAAGCTGCTCCAGGAGTTGCTTCAGCTCATCCAAGTCCCCAGATCGAACTATCGAGAAAATGGACTGGTACCTAATGAATCGCAGAGCCCTGGAATCCATCATCGTGCGCACAAACACAAGCACACTGCCTCTCCCTCACTGCTTCTTCAATTCTGGATTACTCAATCACACCCAAATCATGTCTCTGTCTTGCATCCTAATTCAGCAATTTTCTGCCTCAGAAACTTTCGTCGCTTCTTCTTATTCGAACAGGAAGCTGATCGAAGCAAAAGAAAGAAGAGTATGAAGTGGAGGAATGAAGATAACAGATTTGGATGCGGCGTTTTAAGGAGGAAGCTGAGGCGAAGAAGGAGGGGTTCTTGATCCATTTAACGGATTCCGATTATTCGGAGCATTAATTTTTATTTGGATGATGTGATTGATGGTGGTGGTGGTGGGGTCTTGACGCAAAGCAAATCCATGTGGTGCCTAGCCAATTGACTGTCCATGGATTCCTCAACGCGACGCGAATCTACAGTGCTCTTTACTTGTCCATTAGTGTAGCTGGCCGCACAAACACGCTGGCCAGGTTGCCGAACGCTGATAAAAACTAAAAAGATTTACTCTGCGAAGTCTCTATCTTCAGTTCTTAATTTATACTAATAACTAAAAACTATAAGCTACAGCGCTTGTATTCATCTTGCGTTACCATGGGCTGCCTTGTGAGACAATGCTTTTTTTACCCCCTGTTTTGTCGTGAACTTCACAATGCAGAGAAAGAATGGACCATTCTTTGTGTGGACAGTGAATATAGTTCACCCATGGGATAGAGGTCATAAAACTTGTTCTCATGAAAACTGAACCAGTCAAGACACTGATTCTAAAGATTAATAATTAAAATTATAATTAAATTAATTATAAATAAAATATTTTTATTGATCTAATTGAGATATTAATTCAATGATTTATAATAAATCAGGTTGACCTATTTTCTAGAGTAGCCTTAAAGGGATCTCTTCCTTAGTTACTTGATTTGCGTTGGGTTGCGTCATGATCTCGTTCTGCATCAGCAAAGCTACCATGCTTGTTTATTAAAAGTATTTTATACTGAGATGCCCTAGGATGTTTTGTTGGTTGGGGGAATGAAGTAATAATTGAATGAATTATATTATAGAAATTGAATAATGGCCGCAACACGGGTGAGTGACGTGTAGTGAAGAAAGTATCTCTCTCTTTCACACACACACACACACACACTCAGTTGTACATTTCTTTCTGGTTTGCAAGAATTTTTCTTAAGTAGCTTCCATTCTATTTCTACAATATGCAGAACCTTGCTTGTATATACATGCATATGGACATCTGCAGCTTAAGCTTTCTGTAAATCCATTAAGGGATGTGAGTTTTTTTTTTTTTTTTTTTTAAGGAAGCAATTAATAAACACTTGCACGCTCACTCATATGAAGGTTGAACCCTGCACTCCATGCCAAGTAAACATTATAGTCACTAGGATAACTAATCATTAACAAGATATGAGTTACTCTATTCAATCTAAAACATAAGTATTTTTTTTAACTAATCTTGAAAAATATAAGCAACTTAATACATATAAATTTTTTTTATTTTATCCCTTATATTTATTAACCTAAATATTTATGTAAATGTATCTCGCACTTTATTTGTTCAAAAAAAAAATATATTTATCACCCGTCATAAAGTACATTGATAATTGAAATTAAAAATATTTTTATAAAAATAAAAACTTTATTAATATGTGATTTTTTTTAAAGACTGTTGATTTTTGGATCAGAGGAAATATATGAACGCACTTATACTTTTATATAAATGCATGGGTGAAATGATAACCTCTCATCTAGCATGTTCTTAAGAATTTTAGTAAAATTATGATATTTTGAGAGATTAAATTATCATTTACTCCCTCCTTTTCTATTTATAGGAAAAAAATTATATCACACAATTTAAAAAAATTGGTTAACTATATTAATTATGTTTGAAAATAAAAAATTAGGTTACAATATTTTTTATTAATTATGTTAATCAAACATTTATTAATTATTTCTTATAACTATAAATGATAAAATTATGAGGAGTAATTTAAAAAGTTTGTAATAGATATCTATTAAAATATAATTTTGTTTATATAAAAAAATAAATTAAAAGTAATAATTTTTTTATAAATAAAAATAAAGGGAGTATATAATTCAGGAAGGTTTTATTATTATTTTTTTAAATATAAATTTCACGTCCCTCTGACGTGCATTAAACTGCCAGCAACCCAGCAACTCAAAAAGCTTGCGCTGCCAAACTTTTTCTGTCTCGCCCTTTCCAAGTTAGGACTTTCTTTCTTTTCTTTTTGAGTGGAAGCGGATGCCAGCGTCGAAGCCGGGAGAGATATTGTTTTGACATGTAAGAAGCTTCAGAGTTCGGTAATCAAACTAAGTAATTAATCACCCCTAAGATCTATCCAAATATTTATAACTTAGTTGTAATACGACTTCTAAAAAATTACATGCGTTTTTTTTTTTTCCGTTGGAAATTTGTCGGAATTAACATCATCAAATAAGCAAAGCAGTGATTTTTTCCCCCCCGTTAGAAATTTGTCGGAATTAAGATTTTTGGAATCGGCAGAATAATTAATTCTGAATTCTGGTCTAACGACTGAATTAATGGAAAAAATATATCCAAAATTAAAATGTCAAAATACTCAAGACCTTGTGTCTTTGCCTCTTATGTTAGCATCAAATATCACATGACCTGACCAAAAAAAAAAAAAAGAGTAGAGTTCTTTCCAATAAATGCCTTAAGGTATGGACAGTCTAATGAGCATAAATAAGCCAGAAACAAGCTTAAAGTGGCCGAAGCCTTGTTGACAAAGACACAAGTTATCGTGCTTCTTGTAGCATCTCACTGGTTTATCTACCAAATTATCGATCAACACAGCCTTTTGATGTATCCTTCGATCCATTAACTTATCCCTCGAGCAAATTACAATACATGTTTGAAGAAACTTGATTTTACGTTAACCTCGAAGCGAGTACTTCTTCCCTGTGAAAGGCTGAAATTTCGGTTCTTCTTTATCTTGAGATGGCTCTTGTTTTGGTTCTTTTCCCTGCAAACCATAGGTGAAAAAGAAATATAGTATGTCAATTACTATCTAGGGAAGGAATTTGGCTGGCATAATGGCGACTTGAGATTAGAAAATACTAGCATGAAGAAGAAGAATTACCTTTGCAGTTTCATTAGACCGGTTCGCGTTAGCGCCGAACACAAGCTTCCCTTGGGATTCCCGAGACTTGCTTTGTGAACTTGATGCTGCAGAAGACTGCGCATTGCTGCCATTTAGAACACTGGGTCTCTTGTCCTCAGATGCTGAAGAAGAAAGTGGAGGCGGCTGATAATTTAAGGGTTTTCCATCCAAACGTCTGCCGGCTCCAGAAAACGGGTTGAATTTGGGTTCAATTTCAGCAGGGGCCTCTTCAAAGGAATAAAAAGTTTGTCATACGATGACAACAGAGAAAGCACTAAAAGAGGCTTAGTAAAGTACAGCTCTGATATATAAAACAGGAGTTTTGACAAGTAGTAGCATAGTATTGAAAACTAGTTGAACCGGTAAACTATTGAATTAGTGGTTTGACCAGTTTAATGAAATATTTTGTTTATGATTGATCTAACTACAATTCAACTACAATTTTGACCACTAACCTTTAAATTAGTGCCTTAACTAATTCAATGGATAGTCTAATTTTCAATGCCTTGGATAATAGTTACCACAATACTTTGTCAAATTCTAAACAAAAATTATTATAACTTTGACAATGGCAGGTTCCTCATTACATTATGATCCTAGATTTCTTTATTTGTAAACTTCTATTAGAGTACTGCGGTCTTGAGGCAAAACAAAGGGTGTTGACAAGTCATCTTTCTTGCCATGATGAGACTAATTTGGGTCCCAATCCATTAAGGCTCCAGGGTTTCTTCAAAGAAGTTTCAGGCCGTACAATGTGTCAAATCGCAGGGAATTGCAAACAAGAAGTGTGATGCTGGCCAAAACACAAAAGTCAATAGCATGCACATACAACCTAGCTCTCAACCCAAGTAATCAAAATGGTGTGATACATAATGCAAATTCAAAAGCGTACTTTTGAACTGTAAGTTACATCAAAATACACTCAAATATCTGAAGAGAAAGGAGGAAATCCCTTTCACAAGACAGGGGAAGAAAAGGAAAGGTTAAAATTAAATTAAGAGAGACAATCATGCACCTTTCTCAGGTGCCTTGCTAGCAGAAAGTGGTGCAATGGGCTTTTCAGGTTCTTTGTAATCCAAGGGAGGTGCAAAGTCCACCTCACAATCTGTCTCAATGATGCTTATCGCATTAGAAGGCTTGGCTTCTATAATATCTATGTAATATTTTTTGTTGTTATATGCCACCATGATACTATCTCCAGTTGTCAAGCAGGAGAAATTTCTCAATGTTGTTTCTAATCTGCATGTCAAATCAAAATGCACTCAAATGTCTAAAAGAAGATCCACAACTTGTAATGTTGTAGACATAGTGAAGTCTAAATAATTCAGAAATACATCCAATGTCAATGCATAGTGAAATCTTGATTTAAGCCATATTTTTCTAATAGAATGAATAGTTCTCTAACACTCTCAAGATTACCTAGCACTTTTTTTTTTCGGATAGAAAAGAATTTGATTCAAAAAAGCAAAAAAAAACAAAAAGAAAAAAATGATTGCAGCTATAGAGGATAAGCAATCCTGCTACCCAGGATAAGAAAAAGAAAAAGAGAAAAAAAAAAACCCTCAAAAACCTGTGATAAAGGAGAAGCATGCAGGAATCAAGATGTCAAATATATATCAATTTTATAAATTTCTAAATTTGTTTTTGAATCTGCAGCTGTTGAAGGAAATAGCCATATATACCCATTGGCAAACCTCACTGATGAACAGGTAAGTTGCATTTAAGCAAGCTAAATAGTAAACGCAAGCCTACAACTCCTGGTGATAGCAACAAAGGGGCGTCTACCTAATGCTTGGCTTGGTTCAAGTATGTTACATCAAACACCGAGATGACTAGAAAGTTTGCCCTTATTTTATTCTAAACCAATCTGAAGACAAATGAAATCAGCCCACCAAACTAGACCTATCTGAAGATTGGTTTAGTTTCATGAGGTTAGACAGGTGATGCCAAGAAATTTCACGAAGGTAAACTGAAACTTCCGAACATTATATCCTATTATTCTAGTTGTCAATTTTAAATGGCTGAACAACACTAAACAAGAAAAATAGTAAATACGAGAACATTTCATATGATAGTGACTAGTAAACTGAACCCAGTGCCGGCACTTAAAGATAGGTTTTACTATAATTAGGTTCATCTGGGTTTTAAACAACCCTAATACTAATAGCAATAACTAAGACATCAAACAACATGGGTATGCCTGTCAAAGATGATATGAAGGTACGCATCATATAAATCTTCATTTGGAAGACAAAACACATGCTGACTTTAGGAATTTCATCCGTGCAAGAGTAACTTATCAGTTGGTAAATTGAATTGTAACATCTAACTTGAATGCAATAAGCTTTCAGTCAACTTACATAGCTTTAGGATTGGAGATATCCAAGAAATCCTTTGTGTGGGGTTGCAACTTAACATATGTCCCCTTTGGAAGAGTAACATTTTTCAATTTTACTATGTCTCCCTCTTGTAAAAGCATGTTCTCCATCATCTGTATAAGAACACATGAAGAAGCAGCATGGATTAAAACTGGAATCTCAAGGAGAAGCACACCACTCATACTCCCCAAATTATAAGTTGAGTGCCTACCCAATATGGCATATATATCATGCCTTCCTCTGCAATGAACTCCAGCACCCCACAATGAGACACCCGCTCAGCAGCATCATTCCAAAGTTCAAACAACATTGGATAATCAATATGCAGAGATGCTGAAAATTACACTTGCTATTAGACTTAAAAGCTTGCTAACTAGACATCCAACACATCAGATCAGAAGAATATGCAACAAAATATAAGGACAGAATTTCAACTAACCAAGACGGTCAAGAGCTGAAGGAGGCATTATAACTGAAGCAAAACAAGAATTGTAATTAATATTAGATAAGAACAAATATAATTTGATGATACAAAAGAACAGATCAGGCAAAAATATGGAAACTTACTTTTATCACCACTTTCGAGGTGAGGCTGCGAAATAAACAAAAAGAAAAAAAGAATATCAATACTTTTCATTTTTGACAAAAAAATGAATTGAAGATCAAGACTCTTATGATTCAATTTCCTCAATTTCTCAACCTTCTAGTTTTCCAAGTCACTTTAAGTCTTTGTTTTCCAAATGATGTTCTGGTAATTAAGAACAGATGCAGGGGACCCAACAATATCAAATTCTACATGATGATGTGATTTAGGTTTGCATAAAAAAAGTTTCCTACCATGTTAATTGTTCCTTTTCTCTACAGAAAAGTTATATAAACCAGATAGTCAAGAGAAAGCCAAGCATGACAAGTGGAAAAGGCTAGATGATTTACTGTAGAACCCAATATATATATATATATATATATCTATATATATATATAGCATGCACAATTAGACAGGTAAATATTTGCCCACTGCGTGTCCGAACATAAATGACAGGAATAGAAGAATGCTGACCTTCTCAATAAAAGAAGCAGGGTAACATCGATAAGTCTGCTCGAAAGATGCACCATGGTATCCATATCCATCAAAAAACTGAGCACAAGAGTGCAATATCATTAATATTGATGATACAAGAAGCAGTAAGAGAATTAATGGATCTAATTAAACAATCAATTGAACTGAAAAAATGGGCTCATCCACTTTTCCTTGAAAGCACTACAATTCGTACCATTTTAAATTTTGTAAAATTCTCACAACAGATGATCAACCCTCAAAGCTCCCTGTAAAACAAACGATTCTGAGCTTAAATAACATAAGAAGCCCTCAAAAGCTGACAAGCCGATTGCACAGAATAAGCAAATTAACATAAAACAAAGCAATAACGAGGACCAGAGGACCTTCAACTTACAAGCGATCATAATTCATAACATAAGTAACAAGTAACAATTCGGCCATAAAATTTAACAAGCAATCTAGTACAAATTTCGGCGCCTGCAAGATTAACATCAAATTTGGAATTTAAATAAGCATGCGAGGAACCCAGGTACTCAATTTCACCAGGAGAAAATTATAGCAAAAATGCAGGTAGATTTTCCTAGTAGAACTAGCATCGTCCGTCAGGGCTATGCAAAGAGAGGCAGCATAAAAATAAAAATAAAAACAATAACTGATATTTTTATGTATAAAGACAATTCCACTACAAGCTAGAAGAAGCAGCACCCATAAACAAATAAAAAAATAAATAGTAAAGAATAACCATTTGCCTCTGATTTCTAGAGAATGACCCAGTAGGAAAAGCATCGAACTTCAGCCCGTAGAAAGAATTGTTGCGATCAAAAAATCGAATGCATAAACGAAGAGCAAGAAAGAAAGTTTACCATCACTCCAAAAAAACGAAAAAAGAAAGAAAGTTTACCTGAATTGAGAACCTCTGATCGAAAATTGCAAGGGAAAGTTTTCTTTTTAATCCAGGAAAACGAGAAGTGTTGCTTCTGGATTTATGGTGTTTCGAAGCTGGAAACGGAACAGTCAAGCTTTGGATTGCAGATTGAGGAACCAAAAGCCTAAAAAAGATGCGATTCGGTGCGTAATATGAAATTATGCTCGTGTTTGGTAGGTTGTAAAAAATAAATCTAAATTAACTGCGATCGTTGCCAATATGCTCTGCTCACAATATGATTTTGACGATTTGTGATGCCTTCTCAGTTTACAACTATTATATACACAGATATATAGACGTAGATGAAGATAATCAGGTTCAGGATTTTGGGGAAAAAAAAAAGATAAAGATAAAGAATTAAAGATATAGATATATAAGATTTGTACCTATAAATTTGAAGATCTATAACTTATGATTATTATGAGTAATTGTAAATTGATTAAAATACAATCACATCCCTTTCATTTCCTAAAATTACAATGACCTCACATTTATTTTTAAAACACATACTTTAATCCATCCATCCCATTTTTAATAATATTTTGTTAAAAATTCTAAAATGATTAATTTTTTATTTGTAAATATATTAAAAATTTTGAAAGTATTAATTATTAATTTGCCTATACAATCTAATTCTCTACTCTCCCTCCCTTACTTTAAAAAACTTTAAATAATTAATTAATTAAGACAACAGTTAAAAAAAACTTTGAAAATATCATGCTAAGATTGGTAAAATTTATATAAAAATAAAGTATATTGAATAATTTATCACTTTTTTTTATTAAATATATTTTATTAAGTTTTTTTTTCTTTTACCTTACGTCATCCTAGGTGTTTAACCAAAGCTAATTTAATTTGTATAAATTTCATAAATAAAAGGAAAATATGTATAGTTAAGGTAAATTAAATAGAGGGACGGTAGGTGTATTTTATTCTTATAAATTTTATTATATACTATTAATATTTAATATATTGATAACACAATCAATTATTAATAATTATTTTGATAAAAATAAAGATATCCAAAATGAGAGAGAGAGAGAAATTTTAAAAAAGGTGAAAGTCAATCAATATCCAGAACATATCAATCAATAGCAATGCATTGATATCTCATATAACGATATAAACAATTGAGATATGGATGGATTCGAATTTTACTATTAAAATTAAAAGTCAATCAATATTCAAATCAATCATCAATCAATTATTTAATCTTGTTTGGAACGTAATGATACAACAATACGTTTTTAATACATTTATTTGATGATTTTCATTTGGTAATAAAACTAAAAAATGATATTGATGGTATTGAAGATGATGTTGATAACTATTTATGTGTTTTTGCCGCCAGACAATTTAATTTAGTTATTTATTTTCGCATGTAGTGTATATGTGTGTTTCAAAATAAAATTTGGCGGGTTAAACCAAAAAAAAAAAAAAGTCTTCAAAAATGCTAAATGCTTACCTCTCGTGGCATTTGTGCAATACAGGATGACTAGCGAAGCCTATTGCGGAATCGATCGAATGAAGATGGAGTTCGGGCGCTTAATCTGCGATAGAGAGATTCCGATTCTACAGCACAAACTTGATGCTTTTTCTGATTCTCATCGTAAATCTCTCAAATCACTATGGGCAAGATCACAAGAAACTGCTCAATGTCAAGGTGAAGATTCCTGAATGGTTTGCTTTCAGTGTTTCCTGTTGATTTGGTCTACAATAAATGTGGGTTTCCAGCTTTATGCTTTGAAATTATCGTTTGTAACGCGGATTGCATGTTTTGATTTATTCTGTCTTCCCAGCTAAATTAGAAGAGGCTAAAGTTGAATTGAGGGATGCAGAGGATGATTTGGTTAAAGCACAGGGAGGTACATCTTCACTCTTGCTTTACATTTGATTTTGGTGGATTTTAGTTTGAATTTATCTGTGGTAAACTGCAAATATCCTAACATTTTTGCTTTTAGTGACTTAACGTTTCTTTTTGGCTAGCAGTGACTGAGCTTTAATTTATTACTTTTTGCAACTCTTTAATTGCACTTTCACACAGTGAAGACCCGCAAAGAGGCCAAGCGTATCGCGTTAATGGATGCTATTGCTTCTGCGAAGACTAGAGTTGAAGATCTTAAGAGTAGTATCCAGGAGCAAAAAACCAAGAACTCCGAATATGCTGAAATTTTATCTCAGCATTCTCTTGGTAATGATCTGTTTGTGAATTTACTCGCTGCATTTACTTTATAGAAATTTTCTAAAAGTTATCATGCTTCCAGATGCCTGTTCACATTTTGGCATGATCTTAACCCCACTCACATCTGTTTTTTTTTTTACTTTTTTTATCCACTCTATTACCTGTTTGACACTTGTTTTTTTTTTTTTTTAATTGTGGCCTTGTGGAAGAGCAAAAGGTGAATAGTATTGCCACTGTTAGTTAGTTCGCGAGCATTTAAAAATGATTGTTAATTTTGCCATTAGAATGAGACATGGATGTTGAAGATTTTGATATTTTTATTTGTTAATTAAGCATATCTTTCATATCTAGTTTAATAAGTCACAGCGACATCAAGATCCCCGCCATCTTGCATGAACTGTGAAGTATCTTTGGAAGTTTTATTTGAAAATGACGACGACAACAACAACAACAAGCCTTTATTCTACTAGATGGGGTCGGCTACATGGATTGTAAGACGCCATTGTGCTCTATCATTTATCAAGCTTTTAGGAATATTATTAATTAAGAGATCGCATTCAATAACTTTCAAGAGTGTTCTCTTAGGCCTTCCTCTACCTCTCTTAATCGGACTCAAAGTTATATGTTCCACTTTTTTCACTGGTGCCTCCCTTGGTCTTCTTTGTACATGCCCAAACCATTTCAACCGATTTTCTACCATTTTTTCTTCAATAGGTGCCACCCTCACTTTTTCGCGTACGTGCTCATTTCGAATTTTATTTTTACGTGTATGTCCGCACATCCATTGTAACATTCTCATCTCTGCTACTCCAATTTTATACTCTTGCTGTCCCGTTAGAGCCCAACATTCACTACTATATAATATTGCCGATCTGATAGCAGTGCGATAAAACTTTCCTTTAAGTTTATTAGGCACCTTACGGTCGTAAATAACTCCTTTAACTTTTCTCCAATTAAACCACCCAGCTTGAATTCTATGTGAAATATCTCCACTGATTTCGCCATTATTTTGAATAATGGCTTCCAAATATCTAAACTTTTCCACTTGAGGTATAATTTGGTCTCCCAATTTCACTTTCAAATTATTATCGAATAGTCCTTTACCAAATTTACAATATAAATATTCCGTCTTACTTCTACTCAGACGAAAACCTTTCGACTCCAATGCTCTCCTCCATAACTTAAGTTTGCAATTAACCTCTTTTCTTGTCTCTGCTATAAGAACTATATCATCCGCGAAGAGCATACATTTCGGAATTTCCCCTTGAATATGTTCCGTCAAAACATTTAAGATCAAGTTGAACAAATAAGGACTCAGAGATGATCCCTGATGTAGTCCAATCTTTATAGGAAAATCCTTTGTTTGACTACTAGGCGTTCTTATACTAGTTTTTACCCCCTCATACATATCTTGTATGGCTTTAATATAAGCAATCCGTACTCCCTTTTTTTTTAACGCTTTCCAAAGCACTTCTCTTGGTATACGGTCATAAACTTTTTCCAAATCAATAAAAACCATGTGTAGATTTTTATCTTTACAACGATACTTTTCCATTAATCCCCTTAGTAGATAAATCGCCTCTGTAGTTGATCTACCTGGCATAAAACCAAACTGATTCTCAGAAATACTTGTCTCCAATCTCAACCTGTGCTCAATTACTTTCTCCCACAATTTCATTGTGTGGCTCATGAGTTTAATCCCTCTATAGTTAGTACAATTCTGAATATCTCCTTTATTTTTATAAATAGGAATTAATGTACTTCTCTTTCACTCATCAGACATTTTCTTGGACCGTAAAATCACATTAAATAACTTAGTTAACCATCTCACCCCTTCTTCACCTAAACATTTCCACGCTTCGATAGATATACAATCAGGTCCGTTGGCTCTACCATTTGCCATTTTCTTAAGAGTTTCCTTTACCTCCTTATCACGTATTATTCGATAGAATGACAAATTTTATTCTCCTTCACCAGTTACTAAATCCTCCAAGTTACTAGATGAACCTTCTCCATCATTGAAAAGTTTAGATTATTTGAAAATGACATTGTTGTTAAATGGCTAATTTGGCATGTACTCAATGCTCAGTACTAACTAGTAACTGCTAAGCACTCTATATTTAGTCACTTGAAGGCGACAAAACTAGAAAGAGAGAGATTATGTGATCTTATGCATTTTGAGAAACACTGATACTGATTTCAAGTACCAATATTTAGTTTTATGCATGCCCCAAAATTCTATGCAGCTCATAGGAAGGAAAATATTTTGGGGTATGTTTTGCGATATATTTTTCATTTATCCCTCGCTTCTACTAGGAAATATTTTATAATTGTAGTTGTGTCCCTTGCTCCCATATGCCTTCCTTATGCTTGCCTCCTACTAATTGGATTTTTATGCATTATGAGAAATGCTGATATATTTCGAATCCTTGGCTTCATCTCAAGGGACAACAAATGAAAATACTGAGCAACGAAAAGATGAAATACAGGAGGTCGTCTCATGGTACAATACAGTCCTTGGCTTCCATGTTGAAGGTGGACATGGTAACTGATTATTTGTTAGATTTGATGTTGTTCATATTGTCTGAGTTTTATCCTTCTTCTGTTCTTCACTTAATTGATATCCTTACAAGTTCTTCTGCATATTAGGGGTGAAGTTCACCTTCAAGAATATTAACGTGAACAACCCCAAAGAGGAGTTTTTTTTTACCATTCATCATGAAAATGATACTTACGCATGTAAGTGGAATTTTTGGTTGTTTTTTTTTTTTAAATAATCTCAAAACAATGCAATGATCTGCTTTGTAAAACTGAAGTTGTTGCTTTTCTCTCAGTGTTGAACTGTGAACCCTCCCTTAAAGGCACCAAAGAGTTTATCCATGAATTAAACAAGGCAAATGGGCTGTTTAAATTTGTCAGAGTCATGAGGAGAAAGCTCCAAGAAGCAGTGACAAAAGGTATGATTGTGGCTTGTATATGCGCATCAGTTTTCATGCATAAAATGGGGATGCCAATTGTCCTGGTGCTCTAGTTTTATTTAATTGTGATTTCCATCATCCTGGAATTTCTCTTTGCAGTGGGAATTGGCGTGATATGCTTATTTAAATGGAAGTTTCAACCTATTTCTTGTTCGGTGTAATATTGTTTATCTACTTGTCTTGAATGAGCAGATGTTGGTTTAATAATAAGGCTTTATTTTTTAGTATCAACTTCTATAACTTTAACTAAACATGCAACGTATCATCCTTAAATAGTGAACATCAAGAATCAGCTATTTTGTCAACTTTTGCTCCAGATTTATCCACCTCATCCTTCAGAAATGATACCCCTACCGAGAAAAACGAGAATCAAGTTCAACCTGCAAAAGGCGATCGAACTTTCAAGAAACAAACCCTCAAAAGAAGGGCAATGTCTGCTGCCTTGTCCCCTGGATCTGCCTCATCCGTTCGCCAGTCTCCTCGTTTGAAGGTATGAATCAAATTGATCACTTGTGTTCCTTGGATTTAATTCTGTCAGCACCATCTGTTGTCACTGCAAGGTCAAAATTCTCCCCAGATGAAGTTATTATCATGTTATGATTATGAAAGTTTATTTTATTTGTACCTTTCCCTTATGATATATTTATTATACAATTTATGCAAAAAAATTGATTATGGTTAGACACATTGCTTTCATTGGGCTTTTGTTTTCTTTAATGTTTGAACCTTGGATGAGGTATTATAAGTGGGCAAGGAAAAATGATACGGACTTTAACTACTGAAAAATTCCTCTAGCTGAATAAATTTAGAGCCATCCTTAGGCCTTATATCTTTGATAGAGGTTCTACAGATGTTAGAACCTGGAACTGGAAGTTGGTGGGAGTAAATAAACTGTTTTTCAGTATCATATTCACTGGCGAAAATCAATGGGATGACTGAAAATCTAGTGGTTTGAATTTTAACCTCAAGAATTTGTCAATTTCCTAGAACTTATGTTACTGTTTAAGAAAGACGTTGTGATGAACCTTCCCCTTCACCAGCTTTGCTTTTTCCTCCGGCCCATTTGAGCGAGACCCTCCATCACCTGAATATTGCTGCTTGGTCCTTTGTTTTCTTCCTACTAGATAGTCAACATTCCGGGAGTGGTTGTGATTTGTGAATACTGAAACAGGGGCGGCATTATACTTTATATAATGTATGTTTCTATTCTATTTAGAACGTTCCTATTCAGACCATAGCTGTACTTAATGCTTCTGATATTAAAATGATAATAAGCTTTGGACGAATACATGCTGCTATTTGCTCAAATTTTGATGACTGTTGTATTCTGTCTGTGCATAAAAAAACGGGAATCACAATCATTAATCCGTCTTGGCGTCAAATAGAATTGCATAGTGTTAGAATTTTTGAATTTTTTTTAAAAAAAAAAAGAATTTTTGAATTTAATTTCAGCCCATGATGAGTCATAACTCCGGTCATAATGAATTGATTGGAATCTGGTATTAATATTTGACTAATAGCTAGAAAAGGAAGTGATCCTTCATCATAATAATCATTATTCCAATCAGCATATTTATTCCATAATGAGGTGAATTAATACTGATTGGATCTTCCTTTTATACGAAGGCTTTCCTTCATTATAAGTAGTGATCAGAGGCTGGAGGTAAAATTATTCCAGAGCAAACAGTTCTCTAGTTCATTCTTCCTCTTCCTCTTCCTCTCTTTCTCTTCGGTACACCCGCTGTGTATTATAGTCTAGATTTTAGTTGTCTAAACTTGTGGGGTAGTCAGGTAGACTTTTCTACACTTGGGTTTAGTGAGACTCTAATCCGATTCTTCTATTCGGCATATTATTTATTTTAATATTCCATCATATAGAAATTCAAATGGCAAGTTACTTAGTCTAGATAACGAGAATTGGATGTGATTCTTGCATCTATGCCTTTTTGTGATGCTCGCTCATTGACAGCAATCAATCATTGCGCTATTGGGCTACTTATTTAACTTTCGGCCCTTGATGTGCATGGTAAATGGAAATTGGAAGCTAAGATCTCTTACATGGCAGGCTAAGAAATAAAGTGGAAACGCTTTCTCTGTACCACTCACGTGGTCACCATTGATGCCTTTGGACTAAACAAGTTGACACATGGATGAAGACATTGTCTGAATTGTAGATGGATGAACCTGTATCTAAACATAAGAAGAGCTTCACAAAATGTTTTTGTAACTTGAGATATAGGGACACAACTTGCCCCTTTATTAGTGCCTCTGTATTTTTCAATATATTTCCTGATGCTTGTGTTTTGTTATTTTCTTAGGTTGTTTCAGTTACAGTTCTTGGGGCAGTCATGGTTGACAGTGTAAATACTGCAGTAAATATATAATGTCTTAACTTCCCCCCTTGTCTTAATTACAACTAGCACATGGTTGATAATGTATTTTTCTGTATCCATATAGATACTGATTTATGTTATAGATAAGGATTTTGGGTCATGAATGAGATGCCTGTATCCTATAGCCTTGCTTCCAGGACAACTTGCTATTGGCATGCATATATCCTATATAATTTTATTCACTTCCTAAATATACGGATTTTGGGTGGTCGTATAATTTTAAATTTTTAAAAGAAAAATAAGCATCCAATCCCTAAACAGTTTTTAGTCAACAATCGTCTTATGATTAATGGCAGCATGTGGCCTAAATAACCTTACTTGAAAATTGCTTACGTGCACTTAGCAATTCAATTAACACACTGCCTCGGCATCCAATTTTTGTGATTTGAAACAACTCGGTGCCTAAGAATTTCAGCTCTTTATTATTTAAAAAAAAATGAATTTCTGCTCTTATGTTTTGTTCAACTGGGGATGCGTCATCATTCATAGTTAATTCTGGTCACGTGTCCAACTACCTCATCACGTGCCTGTATCTATCCGTCCCTCAACTTCATCAATATGATCTTCCTTTAACCACACAAGATGACGTAAAATAGCCATGAATTAATGAATCATTGATGCAAAGCAATGGTAAGAGAAAATATCTTAAAATCGCACTTAATCATCCCTAAGGACTCCACAGATTAAATTCAAAAGGGCAATGGCAGGGATAATAACAATGCAAAAAACATGGTGAGTGAGTGCTGGAATTTATGCATGAATTTATTGGACAAAATTTGATGACATGGCAAATTTTTATTCCACATTAGATGCCAAGTGTAATTTTTATTAACCTGACATTAATGAGAGGAGAACTAATGTTAAGGCTTCCTTGGTCAGAGCATAAAAAGGTAGAGTCAATCTTCAACTTTAAAATATCAAAAAGGTTACAGGTAACGGACTTAAAGTTCAGGAAATTATTATATATTTTAGCTAAATTAATTTCAAATAAATTATTTTTTATATAAATCAATTAAATGTAACTTATACATGAGAAAATTTGTATCAAGTATCAATACACCCGTTTATGGCTCTTGGGATGGAGAAGATGAAGTTGAGAATGAGAAGATAAATCCAAATCAGTCAAAGTGAAATTCAAATATTAAGTGGCTTGATATTCAAATCTGCGCTCAGGCTAATCAAAATCCTTTAATGTGGGACGGTTGTTACCAACTGTTATTTGACCTATAAGACGTTGACATGGGGCGGTTTTCAAAATACTTGGACAAGAGCGATTTAACACGGCCCCATTAATCCTTGCTTACGTGCACCATCGCAGCATCGCACCTGAGCTGAGCATGTGTGCCTTCCAAGCCAGAAAAACATTAGCCACATAAGCTTTTCCTCCACTCATTTTTGGGGCTTTGTTTGGTACTAATGATGCTGAAATGATTTATCTTTGGTAGAAATTAGAAGCCAAATTTAAAGTTATTATACATTTTTTTTAAGTTACTTCTAATTAACTCATCAAAAATTAAAGTAAATTGATTAGAATAATAAAATTGTCTTAAAAACAAATCACATTTTAATTTTTTTTTCCAAAATTTAAAAAAGAATAATTTGATATGTGGAAAGAGTTTTCTTAAAAATTAAAATATTGCACTACATTTTAGAATTTGCTTGAGGATAGTTTTGAAATTGTACATCAAAGATTACAAAAATTAAGGGAAAGTAGCTTGTCTAAAAGACCAAGAAAACCATTTAAAATATGATTAATAAAAAAACAATCAAAGGGAGTAAATTATACTCACTCTTTTCCTTTCTATAAGATCTACCTAACCAAATTATGTAGATAAAAAACGGTTGGTTGAAATTATTTTAGTGTCTTGATTTTTTCTTTTAAAGTTAGTGTCACATATTAAACTTTCAAGCCAACCCTCCGGTTCACTTTTGTTATAATTTTCTTTCTTTATAATTAATATTATTGCAAATAAGGGCATTTAAAAAAACATGTAATAAATGTCTACTTTTTATAAAAGATCTTATACACATTTAAAACATGAAAATCTTTACTAACAAGAGTTAGATATAGGAAATTCGAATTAGTCCTTTATAATATAATAAATTAAATTTTGAATTTCTATTCAAAGAGATACATACATTTAATATTTAATTATATCTTAAAATATAATTTGTCTTTAATAAAAGAACACCCATAAACAATAAAAAAATGTGAAAATCTTCGAGAATGAATATTAGAAAACAAACAGTGAGGAATAATAGTTAGAAGATCTTTTTTTTTTTTCATTCAGTAAATCATATATCGTTGATGTAGTTTCATTTTAATTATAAATGTATTTCTTCAGTAAAAAAAAAGATCATTTTTCTTAATTTTTAATTTAAAACTTTATTCTTGTTTTTGATTTTTTTTCCCACTATAAATTGTCATATTTGAGGTAACAAGGAGGTTGGTTCCACGCTCTTTTTAATTTTTACTATGCCAACGGTTGGTTCCATGCACTTTTTTCTATGCCAACGGTTGGTTCCATGCTTTGTAGTTTGTACTTTATACTACTAAAATTGAGATGGTGATGTTATTCATGACTCTATCAATGATATATAAATATATACTTTTTAAAAAAATAATATTATATATAAATATAAATATATTAATGTATGTGTATGCTAATAATACTAGAATAGAATGTAGATATATAGATAGAGTTTTTTTTTTTTTTTTTGGGAGTTGGGAGATGTAGGTTTTATCTATATTGAAATATAGATATAGCACATAGATTACATTCATGTATTAAAAAAGGATATTGCAATTGTACATGGAGTCTTCATTCTTTGGATAAGTTCTTTTTATAAAAACAAAATTAGATGAGTTGAGTCTTGATAATTTATCAAGATCAGGGCATATATTTATGCTTAAAAAGTTTTTATAGAAGTACTTACAATTACAAATTACCCACCAACAAAAATCTTATATTAACAATGAGATTTTGACTTATGACCTTAAGAGCTATGAGTTAAATACTTACAAATTGAACTAACTTTTATTGATTCTAGATAATATAATTTTACTCATAAAAATTGAAAAACGATTGACAAAGATTTGATCCATTAAAAGAAACTAACCTCTCATAATGCAATGAATTAAAATTTAAATTTTTTTCAAAAAAAATTTTAATATTTAATATTTAATAATATCTTGAATAAGATTACCTCTAAAAAATTACCACCAAATGGATAGCTAAAATGAAAAACAAAGGAATTTTAAAGAGGTGGGAATAAGAAAGGAAAAGTTTGAAATTCTATTAACGGATTGAGCAAGTGTAGGCCCCATCAAACCGTCTGTTATTTATTAATTTCACTAATTTTGGCATTTGAACAAACAAAATTGGATCCAGTTCGTGACGTTTCTCAATTCGAAGGTTATGGATTCTCTTCGCATTCTTCCTCCTGCTTCCTACGTCTCTCTTCCCTCCCAATCTCTGTGTCAATCCTTAATGCTATCCCTCTAAATCCAATCATCAATCGCTTCTTCATTCTCGCTCTTGATTCCTCCTTTCCTTTTGTGTTTTAGCTTTTAACCGGCCAATCCGCATTAATCGCCATCATGGGTTTCAAATCCCTCTTCTCTCGGAAGAAGAAGCTGCTCGAAACCGCCGCCGCCGCATCGCCGATCACGTCCCGATCGCCATCGCTGTCAATGCATTCTCGTGCCCAGCTCGCGGAGGAGCTGGAAGAGGTGTTCAAGAGATTCGACGTGAACGGAGACGGCAAGATCTCCGCATCGGAGCTGGGATCCATATTGGGAAGCCTGGGCCAACCGGCCACGGAGGAGGAGCTGAATAACATGATCCGTGAGGTGGACGCCGATGGCGACGGATTTATTAGTCTTCAAGAATTTATCGAGCTTAATACAAAAGGGATCGATTCCGTGGAGGCAATGGAGAATTTGAAGGACGCGTTCTCCGTCTTCGACATTGACGGCAACGGGAAAATCACGGCGGAGGAGCTTCAAATGGTGATGAAGAGCCTCGGTGACGACTGCTCGCTGGCGGAGTGCCGGCGGATGATTCACGGCGTCGATAGCGACGGTGACGGCCAGATTGATTTCGAAGAGTTTAAAGTGATGATGATGAAGGGATCTCGCCATGATACCAGTGACAGGGTGAAGCCCGAATAAGGCATTGTTTGGCTGTGGCATTATTTTTGTTTTTCAAAATTTTTTTCCCAATTTATGATATGGGGATTGGAATTTCACATCCTGCAAATTTGATAGACTACGAATTCTAAACAGTTAGATTTGAAATATAAATAAAGATTATAATAATTTTTTTCATAGCTCGTATCTTTTTTTTTTCACCAAATAACTAAACTAAATGTGCACATAAATGAATTTCTTATTCATGATTTTCAATTTTCTTAAATTGTTTTCCAAATTTAATCTAATTAGTAAGCTCTGCTCTTTGGATGTTAGTTATATCTTTCATTTTCCTCAAGATTTGGGAAGAATGACAATTAGATCTCTGAACTTTAAATTAATAACTCCTCAATAAAATTTTTTTAAAACAATTAGTTGAAAATATCAATTTAAATACTTATAAACTCAAGAGTTTTAATTACAAATAATTATTTAAATATCAAATGTAATTGTTACATTGTAACAGAAATTTTTATTTGTAATGGTTTGAATTGATGTTTACAATTCATTTTGTAGAAAATTTTATTAAAAACCTAACTATAATTAACTCAAAATTTTGGGACCTAATTATTATTTTCCAAAAGATTTATGTTCATTGGTAGGGACCTTGTGTAATTTTTTTAAAATTTTGTTTTGTTTTTTGTAAAAAAAAAATAATCTCAAATCTTCATCTGACATAGTCACATCTGAATTGTTGTAATTTTATATTATTTTTAGATTTTTAGATGTGATCATCAATATAAATTTTAAAATTACATTTGTTATACTTCCTGTTGTTAGATTGATAAAGTTCATATTTTCCTAGCATTATGCAAATATTATTTTAATAGAAACTGAAAACTTGCTATAAAAACATAATGAACAAAATAGTTACAAACAAAGGAGAATATTCTTTCATTATCCACCATCTTATTAGGAAAAAAAATAATTAAATTGTGACATAATTTAGCCAAATAATCAACATAATTATTATTTTTTTTGAGTTACAAAAGCAAGCCAAAGCTTGAATAGAAGCAAAGAAAAACTAAGCATTCCTCTTATCCGACAACAAGATGTCTAAGCAACCTAAGGGACAATTTTAAAGTAAAATAGTGTTCACTCCAGCAGTGTAAGCAGTCTTAGCTAAGTAATCAGCACAACTCAAATTCTCACTGGACGTTTGTTTTATGATAAGGTTCCAATGGCTGTAAATATGATCACAAATTGCCGTTACTTAATTAAATGAAGAATCATAATGACAATCCCTAAAAAGCATGTTGATGGCTTCCAATAAATCAGAGAATAGTTTGATTTTTTGAAATTTTTGGTGACAAATCTCTAATCCTATTCTTATAGCGAGAAGTTCAGCAACTAAGATGGTTGCTCTTCCTAATTTATGTCTGAAGCCTAGAATCCAATCTCCCTATTCGTTCCGGAACACTCCCCACAAGTGGCATGTCCTTGTTGGTTAATGAAAGCATCCACATCAACACGAACATAGCCTTTAGGTGGAGGGGTCCATCTATCTGCGTCATTTGAAAAACCTTGGAATATTGCATGTTTAAACTTATTGGTACTTGAATCCTCCATCAGCAAGTAGAGACCTTGATGTATAATCTCATTAGACTTGAATTGGGTTCCTTTAAAGAGTCTTTTACATCGAGTCTTCCATAAGAGCCAGCACACATATTACAAAAAACCTTAATCCAAGGCCATCTTCCAAATTTTCTATTTCCTGGGTTGTGAGTAGTATTCCATTTAAGCCAATCCTACAAATCAACAGAGAAAAAAGCAGTAAAATCATTAGGATTAATAATTCTTTCCCACACTCTTTTAGAAATCTCACAGTCTCGAAGGATGTGTATGATGGATTCCTTTCTATGGCACTCAAATGGACACTCATTGTTTATGGTTAGACCACGTAAAGCTCTAAGTGAATTTGCAAGTAATATTTGATGAGTAACTTCCAAAAGAAAAACTTGATTCTTTCAAAAATAGGCCATTTCCATATCTTCTTCCATAAAGGTTCTGGAGACCCATGATCAATAGTTTGGAGAAAATTATACGTTGATTTGACAATGAAAGAACCATCAGTAGTAGATCTCCAACTTAGTTGATCAGCCTCAAAGCCACTTGTTGGTTTTGACCTCTTTATCTTCTTAATCACCAATGATGGTATGACACTAATCCAATTAATGATATTTCATTGCCCAGTAGATAGCATATGCTGCTGACCACATCTAACTGATTAATTGTGTTATAGTTTTGATCAACATAATAAATAAGTGGTTGATCAAGGCATGACCATATGTCCCACTAAAAGTTGGTATTATGTTTGCCTATTATCTTTTTCCCCACACCTTTCATGAAATCTTCCCAAGTGTGAGTGATTGCTTGCCAAACCACTGAGGAACATTGTTTACGAGTGACTTCAAGATAAAAGTTATCTCCGCATCTTTATTTCTTCCTTATGCATTAAACCCATAGAGCATTTGGTTTAGTTATCAAACTCCAACAAAGCTTCATAATGAAAGTAGTATTTTGATATTTTAGATCCTTAATCCCTAAACCTCCCAATTCTTTCCCGCATTTCACTGTATCCCAAGAAATCAAGTGTAATTTCCTTTTATCTACCTCTTGACTCCATAAAAAGCCTCTGTAGATTTTTTCAATTTCTTTGAGAATGCCTGTGGGTAATAACATTGTCTGCATTAGAAACGTAGGTATAGCTGATAAAATAGCTTTAATGAGTACTGACCTCCCTGCTATGTTTAGGTAATTTCTTTTCCAAGTAGATAATCTTTTCCTGACTTTCACGACAAGAGGATTGAAAATCATTTTGGAAGCATGAGAATGGATAAGTGGAACTCCTAAATACTTGCCCAAGTCTACTGTGAGACCAATGCTAATGATATGACTAAGCTGAGTTGCTCTATTATGGCTGACATTCTTAAAGCAAAAAATTTTTGATTTGGCAAGATTAACTTTATGGCCTAAGACACTGCAAAAGATACTTATAGTTTCCTTAATGATCTCCATCTACTCTAAAGAAGCTTCTACAAACAAGAATAAGTCATCTGCAAAGAAGAGGTGGGAAATAAAAGGGCCTTTGGAAGTAATCCTCAAAGGTTTCCATTTTCCTTCAGTGCATTGTGCCTTTATTAAATACCCAAGTCTTTCCATACACAACACAAAGATGTAAGGGCTAAGTAGATCACCTTGTCTAAGACCTCTAGAAGGAAAGAATTCTTGAGTTGTATCACCATTTCACATTACTTTCATAGAAGCTAAATTTATGCAATGCATGATGATCGCCATAAAATTACTATCAAAACCAAGACTATAAAGAGTATCTTCAATAAAATCCCAGTCTAATCTGTCATACGCTTTTTCCATATCAACTTTAATAGCCACATAGCTTCTACCAGTACACTTATTTTTCATGGTATGAATTGCTTCCTGTGCAATAATCACATTATCGCTCCCTTGCCTCCACTCTATAAAACTGCATTATTTCATTCCAATAAGGGAATTGAGAAGAGGCCAAATCCTGTTAGCAATGATCTAAGTGATAATCTTGAAACTTACATTGCATAAAGAGATAGGTCTCAATTCCTTTAAAGAGGTAGGGTGATCAACTTTAGGAAGGAGAACTATATTAGTTTCGTTCAAGCTTTTCACTTTCACAGGATCGTGAAACACTTCTTTTACCAATTTACAGATTTTTTTCACCAATAATGTTCCAATGAGATTGACAGAAATAGGCTTGCAATCTATCTGGTCCCGATACTTTGAATGGCCCTATAGAGAAGGCTGTATTTTTAATTTCCACACAATCCACTTCCTTGGATAAATGAAGTAAATTATTAGTCTCAATAGTTGGAAAACAAGAAGGCCAATTATAGTAAGGGAAAGCTTCGGGATCCTTTATATAGAGATCTTTGATTGCCATAGTCTTTAATCTCTTAAGGTCATCAACCCATTCATCGTTATCATCTTTGAGTGCTTTAATCCTCTTCTTCTTTTTCCTCAAGACAGTAAAAGCATGAAAATATTTTGTGTTCTTATCACCCCATTTAAGTCATTCACATCTTGCTTTTTGAAACTATATGAGCTGCTTTTGTGAATTAAGCTTAAGATAGTCTTCCTAAAGTTTTTTCTCAAGTCTATGAAGCCCATTAGCCTGATTATTTATTCTAGCTCGATCAATACCTTCGAGCCTTCTAATAACTTGCCTTTTCTTGTGAGGGATGCTACCTGTAACATCCCAAAAATTAACCTAAGGTTAATTAAGTTAATTTAGAGCAAATGAGTAATTTTGAAGGAATATTTAGATATAAATAATTTTAGTTAGAAGATTATTATTGGATTTAATTTAGATTAAATCCTAAGTTATGATTTTATAGTAAATAGAAATAGTAATAATAATATTATTATAAAAAAAAGAAAGAAGAAGGAAAAAGGAACATAAAATAAATTGAAAATTGAAGAGGGGGAAGATAAGTAATTTTTGCTTTAGGTGTTGAGGTATAAATAATGCCAAAAAAAAAAGTAAACTAAAAGGGTGGGGTGGAAATTTCCGTGCGTGTGTTTGGTGTACATTATTATTATTATTGTAATAATAATAATGAGAAGGAAAGAAAGACGTGTGGGCCCCACAGTTTTCTTTTGAAAAGCAACAATCTGATTCTTTTCTTCATTTCCTTCATTCTTTCTTCATTCCTTCTCGCGCGACAGAGAAAGCAAAAACAGAGACAGTGAGCATGATGCCTGTGACAGAGCTGAAGTAGAAGATATGGCTCCATAATAGGATACTTCAGATGAGATTTTAAGTATTCTAAGACTAGGTAAGTATTCTAAACATTTTTTCTTAGTCGTTTTTCCCTTTGAGCTGCAGATTTTGATATTTTAAAAAACTTAGGATTTGAAAGAGGGATGAATTTTGATGAGTAAATCTGATTATTGAGGTTGTTGGTAGTATAATAAATATTCTAGAGTATTATTTTGTTGATAGAATTAAAATTTGAGGCATTTGAGTTTATTCTTAAATCCCTATAGGTAGATTTTTAGTTAAACTCGAAAATATAAATTGATTTGTTAATATTTAGATGATTATTTGAGATGAGGAATAAATTATTATGGCTATAGAATAATGATTC